GGTTATGGGCCCAGATACTAGAGCACCCAGCATCCACAGAAGCTGAAACTCTGTTCTCTGTTCCTTGTATCACCTCATTTGTAATGTAAAACAAAGCAGCTTAGAATTCTGTACTTATAGAACAGGGCTTGAAAAGAGTGAACAGTAATGCAAAACCCATGGACAGGGAAGGTTGGTTAATGGCATCTGAAGGCAGTGAGGCAGTGTTTCTCAGGCCTTATGAAACTATGCCCTCCCAAACCGCCAAGCTATTCTACACACACAACTGCTATATGTATAATAACCAAGGATATATATTACATATATGTGAAAATTAAATACTGTACCTTTGGTTCTTACACATACCTTTTCATCCAGCCCTACCAGAGCCAAACACTGCAGAAAGAAAATGGCAAAAAGTAGTGGTCCCCTCATTTTTCTCTTTCTGAGGCCTCTGACCATTCTGACCCCTCCATTGAAGCACAGAGTTATGCATGCCATATGGCCTTTCATGCACCCATAAACCACACTGTTGCCCTCAAATGTTGTGGAAAACACTGTCCCATCACCACACTTGAAGTAAAATTCAAGCTCTAGTGAATTCATTTCCATTTGTGGAAACCGGCAATGGCTGCCAGTCTTGTCCTTTGCCACAAACAGGGGGGAAAATGGCCTGACCCTGAGATCCTCTCCTAGAAATAGTGCAAATTGAGTCCACTTTAACTGCCCTGACTCAGTGCTAGGGAATCATGGGAATTGTATTTTTTTCTGAGACACTGAGCCTTCTCTGTCAGAGAGTTCTGGTGCCACAATAAACTACAATTCCCATGATTCCCTAGTCAGGGCAGTTAAAGTGGACTCAATTTGCATTATTTTTGGCAGTCTGCAAAGGCCCTGAATGGAAAGACTGAGCTGTGCCTGTTTACCTTTAAGAGGTATGTGGCAAGTACACCTGTCTGGCCTCAAAAATTATGGGAAGAATATGTGAGAGGCATTGCAATTTGGAGGGTTTTTTGTGTTATTTTGTCTACAGCCACCCCTGTGAAAGAACTGCAAGGCAGGCATAATAATCGAACATTTGCTTACATAGATACCTCTGTTCAGGTTACTAAAATGACATCCTCCTGAACCTGATCCCCAACTTCAGTTTACTCAGCTGTTTTTGCTGTTCCACAACAGCTGGAGGAGCAGGAAAGTGAGGGCTAAGATCTTCTCTCATTGGATCCCTTTCCATGATGCATGCTGGGAGAGAGGGGACAGGATATTAAATACCCTGGATCAGTTATCATTAATGACATGAAGCCAAAACTGCCCTTCACCACCAACTGTGTGTAGAAAAAATGCCAGGAACAAAATGCTTTTGAATTGAGAAAAGTGGGCATATATCAGTCATGAGAGCAATGGGGGGAATCAACTAGTCAAAAACAGGCATGTCCTAAAAACCCAACAACAGCTAGATGGCTGAACAACGATCATGTCACTAGGTACACACATTTATTTTTCCTTGTGGAACAAAATTATCCTTGTTATAAATGACACCTTCAGCCATCTGACTTGCAAAGCCCCAAAAAACTAATCAACAATTTATAGGGTATTTGGGGCTCTGCATCATTGTGTGCTCATCCTGTCAATGATAAAAGGATTATTTTAGACTGACTAATTTCAATAAGACATAAACAGTGCAGGAAAGCCATACTCTAGATTTCTCAAGGATTAGACAGAAAGTATGGACAAAGCTTTATCAGAATATTACCAAGGACAAAGGAGACAGAGGGGTCTGCTCTATGAAAGGGAGTATACCAGAAGCACATGGAAAATATCACAGTAGCCCTCTAGCTGAGAACAAGGAGAAGCAAAGAAGACCATTGGGTCACTGGTAAAAGAGTGACCCAATGGTGAGTCCACGAAACTGCATTACAATTCCACTATGCACAACTCCCCTACCTATATATGGACAGATTAAGAAAACCCATCATAGACAGCTGACACTGATTGGCATGATGCCTAACTTTTCAGGATGCCAGCCCTGAAAATTCACTGTGGAAGAGTGCATTCACAGAACTGACATGAAAACAAGTAGGGGGTTGCTTAGTGCTTCTGCTGGCATCCTGCCTTTTATTCAGTCTGATAACTGAGATTTACTTAAGAGAAAGTTGATAGGGTAAGGAAATAGGAGAACCATGCTGTTTCACACTGGTAGACCTTCTGCTGCTTTAAAAGGTAGAAGAATTAAGTTTGGCATACTTGTTGTTGTTGTGTGCCTTAAAGGCATTTCCAGCTCATGAAAACCTATCTTTTGTTTTTATTTTTGGTCAAGATTTGTTCAGATGGGATTTGCCTTTGCCTTCCTCTGAGGCTTTCTTAGAAAGCCAAATTTTGAACCAAATCCCACGCAGCCTTGTTTTTAGTTTTCTACATATCAACCTCCACAGTGCTCCCTTCACTCACCATTTAGCCAACGGGAGTTGTACTGGTCGGTCCTCATGGCAGTCTGTTTGCCCATGGTGCGGAAGATGGCAGCATCTGTGCCCATGAAATCAATGTAGACACCAGCATAGAGTTCTTCATCTGCAGGCAAGAGGGGGCAGAGATCAGAAAAGTACAAGAGGTATTTTTAAAGTTTGCAAGGGCATAATGACAATAACTGTCATTGTGTGTACAATGACAGTTGCTGGGCATTTCCCCATCTCATTGGTTTTGCTTTTATTTCTTGAAAAGATCAGAAAAAAATTGGGAAGGGAGGAAACCTTCCAGAATATTATTCTATTTATTCTTTGCATAAGACTGGGCGGTCTCACTAACAATTCCTGCTCAAGTTACTGCTTCACCAAGCAACCCTGAATTCTCATATACAAGGGGGTTCGGAGCTCTGGAAGTGCTAATAACTTATGTACATGTGCAAGAATTCCGGTGTGTCTATTAACAGTGGATATAGACATGTGGGGAAAAATGGGGGTGAAGTCACCAGTACTTTCTAATCTTCCTGCTACATTCACATCATGCCCAAAGCTGTTCTCAGTTCTAACAGCATAGAATTATATTTTTCATTGCCAGGATAATTAAAGCCTATAAATCCTTTAACTTTATGTTCAGTCCTTGTATGGGGTAATGATCATGAGGGCAAGCTTTGAACCTGCAACAGCTGCCCTTTGAGGGTGGCAGGATAAACCAAAAACAGGGGCAGGACAAGTCTCTGGAGACGGGGTCTTTGCTTGTTGTTCTAACATCCCATCTACAGAGGAAGGCTCAAAATGATCAAAGGCAGGTGCAATATAAAATAAAGATTTCCATTGTAGATCCACACGAGATGGTATACACTGAAATCACTAGTATTCCCAACCTCATAGAATTAGCTGGGCTTTCCATAGAGTGCAGCCCTCAGCCAGATAAACCAGGGAGACAACACTAGCCTTTCCCAGGCCTGGGTCACAGCTGCTGTGAGATTAATTAAGAAGTTTGGGACTTGTCATGTAAGTGGATACTGATGCCTGGACAAGATCAGAGGCAGACAGCCATATCAAGAAGTTGGGGGATTTGCAAGCACTAAGAACTTTGTCCCTGGCTGGAGCTGACTCTTGGGGGAGGTGGAGTGTGGTGGTGCAGCTGTTG